TTATTTCTTTCTGAAACATTCATAGCTTCCTTGTTCATTTAAAGATGTTTTTGGCCGAGATATTCTACAGAGAATTTGAACAGGAACAAATTTTACAAAACTGATAAATGTCACCGATGTAATTACTAAATTTAAAAGTCAAATTGCAAAACAATCCATTCTTCATGCAGCTGCAAGGCAGAAACAGGATCTTTCAAAATGAAATTACCATGCATTAATTAGAGACGTAAGAAATATGACTACCTATATCAGTTCAAAAAATTTGCATCATTATCTGACAAGGCCAAAACTTAACTAGTCAAGGCTGTTGGGGAATTCAAGATAATTTGTATGGTTGTTTGTTAATGTTCTTAGCCCATAAGGTCACCTACCTGCGCCATAAAAATCGACGTACTCACGCACGACATATTTACGCAACAAAGGAACCGATCCACACGACCCATAATTTTTCAACTGAATCTCAGCCAATAACATCAAAGCAAAACTGAGCAATCAGTGTATACAAACAAGTCTTCTAGAAATTAAAGCGACTGATAAAGACTCTTACCTTCCTTTAATGATTACTTCCGCTACGTGTAGTTCTCGAAACACCAGTCACTACTATATACGACAACTGTCCTCCTCACAACCATTAGGATCACCCAGACGATCAGACAAAGTGATCAAAAGGAGTTGAGCAGGAACCCTAACAGTAGCCAACATCTCCCTCATTCGGATAGCAAGCTCTCTGTTGCTGTTAGAGAAATGCCGAACACCACTGATGAATCTACAAACTCCTCCTTCGAAGGAGGAAGTCATCAACCAAGTGAGGGAATGTTGGCAGTTTTCGTGGCCCTGAACAGTTTCAGCGCCATCACTGCATCAGTGTACAATGTTCTTATACTTATTGCTCTTTAGGCCCATATCGACTGTCCTAGTAAAAGTAGCATAACATGCTACTAGCAGTGCCCGATGTTTCCGAATTATGCTCAAAGTTTTTGAAAATTATGCTATTTTTCTTAATGTGTGTTTAAAATAAAACACACACAAAACTAGTTATTGTCAACAAAACCTCATATTTTCTTTATCTTGAGTTACACACTTGCTGTCTTGATGACTCGGCTTCTCTCGACTGGGTGGTTTGGTAATGGTTTTTTTTCTGAACTTCGACTTCGATATTTACTTTCTCATTGGCGTGTATTTCGGAAGCATGATGGGATGACAAAATTCCTTTTATAAGAAAAAACATCTCTGCAAGGACAACAAAATGTCGTGTTGCCTCTAACACTTAGATAATGACCTGGAAATTCATTGATGCGATCATGTCATGGGCCCTTTTTCACGTCAGAAGCCCCCCCTGGTTTTGTATTTGTTTTTTGTTTTCTTCAGGCTGCGATTTCTAGCAATTTGAGCGGGTTCTGACCTATCAGGAAACTGCTCTCCTTCTAAGGTGCTCAACACTATTTTGTTGCCTGTAAAGGCGGGAACTGGGACCGACGCAATCTTTACTTCCGGTGTGCCCAGTCCTTAAGACGATCAACGACGCAGTACTGCGGTAACTTTCTTCCCCTCCTCCAGACGAATGAAAATAGACTAAGCCAAGGACAGTACTTCAAAATGATCAATCTTAGAGACAAAGCAAGTCATGACTCTGGTAATGTTCCCTTAAAAAAACTAAAAATATGCCGATTATGCTAGCAGTGCTACTTTGAGAAAAAGTGCAAAAATTATGCTCGTTTTTCCGAATTATGCCAAACATTATGCTAGCACAATCGATAATGGTATACCTACGCCAAGATATTTACGCGTAACTGTTTTCTGATTCTATTTCTGATACACCGATGCATTGACTAGCCACTGAGCAAAGCTGCAAAGCCAACGACTTTTGGAAAGGAGAACCGG